TGGTACTTAATGTCGATGTGCTTGGCACGGCCATGGTTGACTGGGTTCTTCGTCATCTTGATACACGACTGATTGTCTTCATGGATCATGAGTTCCGGTCCTTCTTCATTGGCAGCCATCACGATCTCACAAAGCAGACGATGAATCCACTTGCCCTCTTGAATCGCCAAGCTGAGTGCGATGTATTCGGCTTCACTCGTGGACAACGAAACACTTGGCTGCTTCTTGCTGCCCCAACTGACTGGCGCACCGAGTAGCATGAACGTGTACCCCGATGTTGGCTTGCGGTCGGTAAGATCACCAGCCCAATCCGCATCCGAATATCCACGGAAGTCGATCCTTGCACTTGGCTTGTAGCAAATTCCATGCGTCTTGGTGCCTTGTAGGTAGCGAAAGATACGCTTAACTGCAACCCAGTGTTCTTCTTGGGGATTTTCCATGAACCGCGACACATAGCCCACAGCAAACGCAATGTCCGGACGCGTTGCAGTGGTCAGGTGCATCAACGCACCAACAGCTTCGCGAAAAGGAGCATCGACCTTGGTAGTTGCATCACTTGAAACAAGTCGAGAGCTCATGTCGACTGGACTTGCGACTGCCTTGCAATCATCCATGCCAAAGCGCTTGAGGATATCATCGACATACCGACGCTGACATAGTGTCACACTGCCATCTTCACCGTCCAAAAGCTCGATCCCAAGAACAAACGCACACTTGCCGCTGTCCGTCATTTCGAACCGCGTCTTCAGGTCGTTCTTGGTTTGTACAATCAGCTCGAGCGAGCTTCCAGTCACCAAGACGTCGTCCACGTAGACCAGTATAAACACGCAATGGCCGTCCGAAGTCTTGATGTAGAGACATGGGTCGAAGTCCGATACTTGAAATCCGATGGAGCACACATACTCGTCGAACGTCTCGTTCCACACTCGCGACGCTTGCTTGAGGCCGTAAATTGACTTCACCAATTCCAGGCAGTCGAACGTACTGTCAAGTTCGACGCCTTCAGGAATCACGCAGAACACTTGTTCCTTCATGACGCCATACAGGAAAGCTGTCACCACATCAAGCTGGTCGATGGGCCATCCAAAATGCTTGGAAATTGCGATCACCATTCGCAGCGTCACATACTTGACCACAGGCGAAAACGTCTCCGTGTAGTCGATGCCATACTTTTGGCGGAAACCCTTGGCCACAAGTCGTGCCTTGTACTTCTCGATTGACCCATCCGCCTTGCGCTTGATCTTGAACACCCATTTTGTGCCAATGGCGCGTTGTCCGTTGGGCAGCTTGGCTGCACGAAACACACCGCGAAGTCGCATTGACTCGAGCTCTGCATGAATTGCTTTTCTCCAGTGCACTCGGTCAGGGCCGCTTACTGCTGCTTCAAATGTTGAGGGTTCTGATAAGTCCACTGCTGCTTCAACGGCATTTGCACTCGCACGCCAAAACACAGGCGGTGTTGAATCACCAGAATCCTTCGTTTCTTCGTCTTCTTCTTGTCGTGACGAGTTGTTTTCCGGCGCGCTTGACTCTTCTAGTCCTGGTCGTTGACGCACTGCACGCGGTCGTGGAGCTGCTGTATCTTCATCATTGAGTCGGTTCTTGCGCTTGCCTGTTTGCTTGTACTCCATTTGACGCAGCTCTTCGTCATCAAGATCCAGCAATTCGAAGTCCAGGTCATCGACATCTTCATCAGTGATCGGCAGTTGAAGTCCAAAGGTGGACTCGTCGAAGTTGACATCGCGGCTGATAACCACCTGCCCCGCCTCAATGTCAAATACACGATATGCCTTGGACACTTCTTCGTAGCCCACGAATATGCCAGCGCGAGCCTTTGGATCCCACTTGAGTCGCTTCTCCTTCGGAGTCAGTATAAATGTCTGACAGCCGAATACTCGCATGTGCTTGACACTTGGCTTCGAGTTGTACACGATCTCAAACGGGGTCTTGTGCACAACTTTGGGTGACGGTAGGCAATTCTTGACGTAGATGGCCGTCATTGCTGCTTCAGCCCAGAAGAACTTGTCCAACTTGGCATGGTGAAGCATGCTGCGGCCGATCGTGACGATCCGAATGGCGCGCTCTGCTGTTCCGTTGGTCTGGTGTGCATACGGCACCGTAGTCTGTTGTTCAATGCCTTCATTCTCGTAGAAATCTTGAAGCGAGTTCGTAGCAAACTCGCGAGCTCCGTCTTGGCGCACGAACTTGACCTTCTTACAGAATTGCGTCTGTACCATGGTGATATATTTCCGGATGTAGTCTTCACTCTCGGACTTCACTCGTAGACAAAAGCCCTTCATGCATCCACTGGCTTCGTCGATGATCAGCAGCAAATATTTGCTGCCACCGAGCGAATCCTTTTCCATGGGCCCGCAGATGTCCAGATGAAGTAGCTCAAACGTATCGTAGCTGCGCTTGTCTCGGTTGCTTGGAAATGGTTTTTGGACCATTTTCCCTTGTTGACATCCTCGACATGTAGTTGCTCCACCCGACTTGAGAGGGACTCGCACATCCTTGATCATGTTGGTCGCGATCATCTTGCGAAGTACATCGACTGGAGCATGACCCATTCTCGCATGTAGATCGGCACAACTGGTTCCACTTGTTGTCACATTCGCTGATCGTTGAGTCGTCCGAAGCCAGTAGAGTCCATCCACGAGATCCGCTGTCGCCACCACTTGCTGTGAGTTCTTGAGAGTCACATACATCTTGGACCCGTCAAACACGACTTGAAACTTGCCATGGCTGTTAATCTGTGGCACCGAGAGCAGGTTCTTGCTCATACTTGGAACATATAGCGCGTTCTTGATTTCGATCTCACGCTCTTCACCGTTGGGCAGAACCACCTTTTCCATGATGGTTCCCACACCCTTGATGGCCACCTTGTTGCCATCAGCCACCAAGAGTTCGCCCTCATTGCGCTCTGCCAAACTTGCGAACTTGGTCTTGTCGTGGCAAATGTGGTGCGTTGCACCACTGTCGACGGCCCACATTCCAGACACGTCCTTGCTCGTCGAAACTCCACATTCGAACGAGACTGCAAACGCCACTCGATCGTAGCCATTGCCTTCATCATGATGTCCCCACTGGACATTGTTAGCCCCGCGTCCACGACCATTGCCGCCGCGTCGGGCTCCCCGACCTTCGTTCTTCTGCTTTGTCCAGCAACGATCCACCGTGTGTCCCACCTTGCCACAATACGTGCATTGGTAGGGCTCACGCTCGGCGCTGAATGCCTTGCTTGCATCTTCAGCCTTCACCGTAGTCGCTGTCGTTGTCCCTTTTTCTCCTTGACGCTTGGCATGCTCATTCGTCAGGACTCTCACCACATCTTGAGTGCGAAGCTCGGTGCTGCTCATTTCCATGTTGAGCACCACATTTTCGTAGCTCTTCGGAAGACTGAGTAGCAGACAAATTGCAACGTCTTCGTCTTCCATCTTCGCACCGATGCCGCTAAGCTTGGCGGAGATGTTGAGGACCTCGTTGCAGTGATGCATGACGTTCGCGCCTTCAGCCATCTTGATACTGAAAAGTTGTCGCTTGAGGTAGATGCGTCCTGCCTTCTGCGACCCACCGTACAGCGTCTTCAGACTTGTCCACGCAACCCAGGCTTCCTCGCAGTTGTCCAGCACATGATGGTAGTCCGCGTTCATGTGCAGCAGCATCATACCAAACGCGACGTTGCTTGCCTTGACGTAGTCATCGGACGCTCGCGGGTCGGTGAAAGTCGGAGTCACTTCACGGTTGACGACGTGCCAGACGGACTTCGTCAAAAACACACCGCGCATGTACCGGCTCCACGTTGCGTAATTGTCTCCGTTGAACTTGTCAATGGAGGCGTTGCTGGTGGACGACATGGCGCTTGGGCTCATAACCTGTTGCATTGTAGATCGGAGCGAGGAAAGCGGAGCAAACGGAGCGGAGAGACCGAAGAGAGTAGAGCAGAAAACACTTGCCCAATAGTTGGAAGATTCGAAAGTGATTGATTATCGGGGCTTACTACTTACTACATGATTTATATGTGGTGTACATATAAATCATGTGAAGCGTTGTTGTAAGTGCATGATGCACTGGATTCGACTCCAGAGATTCGACCCATGATAGGGTATGTCTAGAATGTTCTTTAGGGTTCTATGCATTATTATAGGTCGTACGGCAGCTAGACGTATGGATAGTTCTCACTTGTAGATTGACAAACCACTGATGAGGCCCCCGGCGGGGGGCCGAAACGCGTCTGGTGCGCGGTAATATACAAGTCATTTACTTTACTTAACTCCTACTTCTTACAGGTTATGAGCCCAAGTGCTCGCTGCAGACATCTCACCAAGGACCAACTTGTGCGAGGGACACCCCGTCAGAGAAGGCGCTCGATGCACGAGTAAGGCGCCGAAGAATTCATCGACAGGGATCGTTGACGGTGCGCGTGCAGTCGAAAAGGGTTTGTGCAAGGGTGGTGACGCGAGATGGTCTGAATGCGCGAGTGCTATCGAAGGAAGAGTCAAGTCAAGTGGTGACAAGTGTATTTGTGGTCAAGAAGAAGTGGAAACTACATGCAAGGCGAACGACGACTACGAGATGTCAAGATGTGACATGGTGCTGGACGATGGGGGAGCTGGAATACCTGGAACGCTCGGTATCATCGAGGTTGGCTGGAGCGCAGGGGCAAGACTCAATCAAGATTCCCATGGTGCACGGATGCAGCAGTGAGGATTACAGGCGGGTCGATACCAAAGTGGTCTGCATCTCATGTCGTCGAGGGGGAGTGTTGTAAGTGCATGATGCACTGGATTCGACTCCAGAGATTCGACCCATGATAGGGTATGTCTAGAATGTTCTTTAGGGTTCTATGCATTATTATAGGTCGTACGGCAGCTAGACGTATGGATAGTTCTCACTTGTAGATTGACAAACCACTGATGAGGCCCCCGGCGGGGGGCCGAAACGCGTCTGGTGCGCGGTAATATACAAGTCATTTACTTTACTTAACTCCTACTTCTTACATGGTAGCACTTGTTGGTCTGTTCAACAAGAGTGCACGCGGCGAGGCCAAGACAACAGCGCAGATCCATGAAAAGTCGCCGGGCTGCCACGTCTCGGTGTTCTACCACATGGGCTTTGCGCAGCTCATGCTCGAGGACTTTTCCGCGGCGATCCGGTCCTTTTCGACCATCATCTTGCAAGTGAACCGCAATCGGAACTACTACTCGCGTTTTGCCGATTACGAACAGCTACATAAGCTGACAGAAAAGGCGATAGCGCTGCTCGCTATTGTTCTGTTTCTATGTCCGGGCCAGCGTGTTAACGATCAGATCCATTCGCTCATCCGTGAGAAGTATGGTGACAACCAAAGCAAGTTACAAAAAGGTGACGTGTCTGCTCTCAGCGAACTGTTTGGCTTCTCTTGTCCCAAGTTTATCTTGCCCGCTGTGGCCGTCGAGGGTGAAGCCGTTGTTCATTGTAGCGCCGAGGCTTTGCAGCGGCAGCAAAAAGCCTTTAGCGATATGGTGGCCCGTCAACAGCACATTCCTGCTGTGCGCTCGTATATCAAGCTCTACCGCTCCATTGATGTACGAGCGCACAGCAGGAATGTGCTGTTGACGGGCCACCATATCGCTAAAGGCTTTTTTTGACGCTGCATCGAGTCGAGCGACACGTCAAAGCCGCCGCAACTATGGCGGACCGTCGCGACGACAAACCCGCGGACTTTCTGCTCCCCGAGACCGTCAAGAGCTGGTTCTCCCACATGCACACGCACTTGATGGGCGGCAACGTGGCGGAGATGGCGCGTCTGTACGACCGCGAGTTCCCCAACCTGACGAACAACTACTTCAAGCAAGCGTCTTGGCCAGAGGCGAGCGCGATCAAGCTGCTCGTACACGAAGATCCGACGTTCCTGCTGCTGTACAAGCAAATTTACTTCCGCCATCTCTTTTCTCGCCTGCAGCCAGGGATGGACATGAAAGTAGCGTCTTGGGAGACGTACGTGGCCATTTTCGAAGGCATCCTGGACGGCTCCTTGGAGCTCAAAGCACTTCCCTCCCAGTGGATCTTTGACATTGTGGGCGAGTTTGTCTATCAATATCAGTCGTACAGCCAATTCCGGGCTAAAGTTGCCACAAAGGGCGAGGCCGAGATCGCTTCGTACCAGGAGAATCTCTTCATCTGGGACACGAGCAAAGTGCTTGGTTACTTGCACGCTCTCGTTCGTCACTCAAAGATTGTGGAGATTTTAAAGGACGGGCCAGACGTGCAAGGGCCTTCGACTGTTGTCAAGGAGCTGGGGTACTTTAGCCTTATCACGCTGGCCCGTGCCCACGTGCTGTTTGGAGACTACTATACATCACTCAAGCTGCTGGAACCTATTGATCTGTTCAACAAGAGTGCACGCGGCGAGGCCAAGACAACAGCGCAGATCCATGAAAAGTCGCCGGGCTGCCACGTCTCGGTGTTCTACCACATGGGCTTTGCGCAGCTCATGCTCGAGGACTTTTCCGCGGCGATCCGGTCCTTTTCGACCATCATCTTGCAAGTGAACCGCAATCGGAACTACTACTCGCGTTTTGCCGATTACGAACAGCTACATAAGCTGACAGAAAAGGCGATAGCGCTGCTCGCTATTGTTCTGTTTCTATGTCCGGGCCAGCGTGTTAACGATCAGATCCATTCGCTCATCCGTGAGAAGTATGGTGACAACCAAAGCAAGTTACAAAAAGGTGACGTGTCTGCTCTCAGCGAACTGTTTGGCTTCTCTTGTCCCAAGTTTATCTTGCCTGCTGTGGCCGTCGAGGGTGAAGCCGTTGTTCATTGTAGCGCCGAGGCTTCGCAGCGGCAGCAAAAAGCCTTTAGCGATATGGTGGCCCGTCAACAGCACATTCCTGCTGTGCGCTCGTATATCAAGCTCTACCGCTCCATTGATGTGGAAAAGCTGGCGACTTTTCTTGGGGTTGATGTCGAGGTCGCGCGCGCCGAACTTATGGCTTTGAAGGTCAGCGGCTCGCGTCTGAAGTCAGATGTGCACTTTTTCCTGAACAACAACGTCGTTCTTGTCGACAAAGAGGCAAGCAACCAGCGCACGGGTGAGTTCTTTATCAACCACATTCACAAGTTTGCGCGTATTGTGGACGAGTGCGCTGTCGCTCAGTAAGTATCGTGTAAATCTGGTGCTGAAGTGGCGGCGCATTGAGTCGCAACGGAAAAATGGTCACTCTAGCATCCCCCAGATACTCAAGTGGTCACATGGTGGAGAGTAGAAGAAGCAGTTGGCAGGACTGCAAGGGACGGAAGATAGCATGTCGTATGATGGATAGAGGTCAACGGTGTTGAAAAGACAGCGGCTGTGAAGAAGACACCTCGTCAAGCTGCGTCAAGTGTTGAAGCAAGTGGAAGACCAAGCTTCGCTATACCGGTGGGTACCGGTATGTACCAGTAAGGGCGAAGTCAGGAAATGACGTCACTGGATGACGTCAGTGGGTGACGTCAGTGGGTGACGTCACTGGATGACGTCACTGCGAATAATAGGCTTAGAGGTAGTATTCAAAGTTGCGAACTAAGTACCTATTATAAATATATATTCACTTTGCGTTTTGCACTCGGACCAAGAAGTCTAAAGTTCATCAGGTTATGAGCCCAAGTTCGTCAGACTCTGAAACCGCCAACAATTCAAGCTTAGCTGCCATGGACGCCTCCTCCCTCCGCATCTCCAAGTTCGATGGAACTAACTTCCACGCCTGGAAGTTCAAGATGCAGATGGTGCTGGAGGAACGGGACCTATGGGAGGTCGTCAGCGGTGAGATCAAGGCGGAACAGTGCGAGACTCAGTTGGACCAAGCGACGTACAAGAGGAAGTCAAGAAAGGCGATGGCAGTGATCTGTCTAGCCATGGAAGATTCCCAGCTACCGTTGGTCCGGTCGGCAAGTGGTGCATGCGACGCATGGTCAAGGTTGGAAGACCACTTCGAGAAGAAGAGTCTTGCCAACAAGCTGTTCTTGCGCCGTCGCTTCTTCACGACAATGATGGAAGAAGGCGACGATGTGCTCGAACACATCAACAAGCTCAAGACGCTGGCGGAACAGCTAGAAGCGGTGGGGGCTCCAGTCTGCGAGGACGATCTGGTGATCACACTCCTCGGCAGCCTGAGTGACTCGTATCAATTCTTGATCACAGCTTTGGAGTCGCGCTCAGACACTCTTAGCTGGGAGCTCGTGACGTCTCGACTGCTTCATGAAGAAATGAAGCGGAAGGAGCAAGGAAGTAAAGGTGATGAAGCTTCGCAAGGTCAAGCGTTCATCACAAGGGACAATCAGTGCAAAGGGCGACCAGTGAAGAAGTCCTGGCCGTGCCACAATTGCGGAAAGATTGGTCACTGGATGGCGGAGTGCCCCTCGCGCATCCAAGAAAACACGGAGAGACACCGGCCACAGCGTGCTCAAGACAGCGGCGACCGCTATCGATCACAACGTGCAAACGTCGCTCAAGAAGAAGACTCGGGCGACTACCTCTTTTCGATCGGTGAAACGACATCTGCGAAATCGAGCGACATCTGGCTGGTCGACTCCGGGGCGACGCAGCACATGACGTGCTCCAAGAAGTTCATGCGGAACTACAAGGGGTTTGACGCTGTGGATGTCCATCTCGCGGATGATGGAATCGTCCAAGCAATCGGCAGTGGGGACATTGTCATGTCGATGAAGACACCCCAAGGGATGAAGAAAGGTGTGCTCACAAACGTGTGGCACATCCCAAAGTTATCCAGAAACCTGTTCTCGGTCGGCCGCTTCACCAAGGATGTCGGCCCAGTGACGTTCACGAAGGATGGGTGCTATGGAGAAGCGAAAGGGACCAAGTGGAAAATTGGTGCCCGTGAAGGTAAAGGACTGTTCAAGCTGCAAATGACTCCAGTGGCGCCGGAACAAGCAAATGCAGCCAAGTCGTCGGGATGTCAAGGGGGCACCAAGTCGTACCTCTGGCACCTTCGGCTTGGCCACATAGGTCACGATGGACTCAATTGCATCGTGACGAAGAACATTGGAATTGGCATCGACATATCTTCGGTGAAGAAGTGGGACGTGTGTGAAGGTTGTGCTCTGGGAAAACAGACTCGAGTGCGCTTCCAATCAAACACTACAGCTCGCACCTCCAAACTCCTCGAAGTGATTCACAGCGACGTATGCGGACCGATGTCGATGGCAACTTTCAGTGGAAAACGGTACTTCGTGACATTCATTGATGACAAGTCAAGATACTGTGTCGTCTATCTGCTCAAGAGCAAATCTGAAGTTGCGGCGAAGTTCATGGAATACGCTGCGATGGCCGAAACGCAAACCGGAAAGCGCGTGAAGTACCTTCAAAGCGACAATGGGGGTGAATACAAGTCCGACAAGCTGGCACGATTCTGCGCGGAACGGGGAATACAACAAAGGTTCACACCCCCATATACTCCTCAGCTAAACGGAGTAGCTGAGAGAATGAATCGCACGCTGGTCGAGTGTGCGCGTTGCATGATGGAACACGCTGGACTGGGAAAGAGCTACTGGGGTGAAGCAGTGATGACGGCGATGTTTCTTCGAAACCGCTGTCCAACACGTGCCATTCACCAAGACAAGTCTCCATATCAAGTGTGGACGATGAAGAAACCGATTCTGGCCAACCTTAAAGTGTTTGGATGCCACGCGTATGTTCAAGTGCCTCAAGACAAACGCGCGAAGTTCGACTCCAAGTCATCACTCTGTCGTTTCCTGGGATACGCCGAACACCAGAAGTCATATCGATTTGAGGAAGTGTCAACAGGAGCGATCAAGATCAGTCGCGATGCCACATTCATGGAAGAAAAGTTTGATGAAGGTCCGCGCAACTACAACGATGAGTCAAGTGTCGTTGAGTTTGATGATCATGATGAGGACGAAGAAAAAGAAGAAGGTAAAACTGACGACGACATGGACTCGAGCGACGATGACAACGAAGACACCAGGTCTTCGAAGAGCAACATCAAGAGACACACGCGCACTCAATCACTTGAGAAAGCTACCGTCATTCCAAGTCCCAAGCGAAGAACATACAGAGGTCCGTCGCTTGAGCATGTGTCAGCGGCTGCAATGGATTTTGAAGCAGCCTACATCGTTGATTCAGTGGGGGAAACGCCGACTACATTCAAGTCGGCGATGGAATCAAGCGACTCCGGCAAGTGGAAAGAAGCGTGTGACTTGGAGTTCGATTCGCTTCAGAGAAACGACACGTGGGAAATCGTTCCTCTTCCGAAAGGTCGCAAGGCCATCGGGTGCCGATGGGTTTTTCGTGTAAAGGATAATCAAGATGGCGAAGTTGAACGTTTCAAGGCAAGACTTGTGGCCAAAGGATTCTCACAGAAATTCGGAGTTGACTATGAAGAAACTTTCGCACCGGTGGCCAAGTTCACATCGATTCGTGTGGTGCTCAGTATGGCGGCTAAGTACGGCCTAATGCTACATCAGATGGACGTCAAGACAGCGTTTCTTAACGGCTCCCTCAACGAAGACATCTACATGGACCAGCCGGACGGATACCTGGATGCAACACAGCCGGACTATGTGTGCAAGCTAAAGAGATCACTCTACGGCTTGAAGCAATCGCCTCGCATGTGGAACCAAACAATCGATGGGTTCATGATCAAGATGGGATTCAAGAAGTGCGAATCGGACCACTGCATCTACATCAAGCGAGACGACCAAGACATGATTATCGTGGTGCTCTACGTCGATGATCTCATCCTGGCCAGCAGCAACAACGAACTCCTCAAGTCAACCAAGATGGCGCTGAGCAAACGCTTCGAAATGACGGATCTCGGTGAGCTCGATTACTTTCTCGGCATGGAGATCAAGAACGACCGTAAGACGGGAATGGTGACTGTACAACAAACCAAGTTTCTCAAGTCCGTGTTAACCAAGTTCGGAATGGATAACAGCAAGCCAGTGAAGACGCCTCAAGATCCCGGCCTGAAGCTAACCAAGAACATGTGTGAACAAGAATGCAAGCACGAAGACACCATGTGCAACGTGCCATATCGAAGTGCTGTCGGAGGCATCATGTATCTCATGGTCGCCACACGTCCGGATCTAGCTGCTGCAGTGGGATCATTATCCCAGTTCTCGTCCGACCCATGCCCGACTCACTGGCAAGCTTTGAAGCGTGTGCTGAGATACCTGCAAGCAACGCCCAATCATGGTCTTGAGTTTACACGTGAAGAAGGAAGCCGTATCTGCGGGTACACCGACGCAGACTGGGCCGGCGACATTGAGTCAAGACGAAGTACAAGCGGCTATGTGTTCATGATGAGCGGAGGATGCATCAGCTGGAAAAGCCAGAAACAACGGACGGTCGCGCTATCTTCAACAGAAGCAGAATACATGGCGCTTTCCGAAGCAACCAAAGAAGCAGTATGGCTCAAAGTGCTTTTGGGGGAACTTGGTGAGATGACAAGCGACGAAGCGATCAAGATGTATGAAGACAACCAAGGATCAATCGCTCTCGCCAAGAACCCGGAGTTCCATAAGAGAACAAAACACATCGACATACGCTACCATTTTGTGCGTGAGAAGGTGGAATCAGGTGAAGTCGTTTTGGAGTATTGCCCGACTCAAGATATGCTGGCAGACATGATGACCAAGCCGATCGCCGCTGTACAATTTAAAAACATTCGCGATCGACCTGGGATCCAAGGTGCCGCAGCTAACGAGTCGAGAGGGAGTGTTGAAAAGACAGCGGCTGTGAAGAAGACACCTCGTCAAGCTGCGTCAAGTGTTGAAGCAAGTGGAAGACCAAGCTTCGCTATACCGGTGGGTACCGGTATGTACCAGTAAGGGCGAAGTCAGGAAATGAGGTCACTGGATGACGTCATTGCATGACGTCAGTGGGTGACGTCAGTGGGTGACGTCACTGGATGACGTCACTGCGAATAATAGGCTTAGAGGTAGTATTCAAAGTTGCGAACTAAGTACCTATTATAAATATATATTCACTTTGCGTTTTGCACTCGGACCAAGAAGTCTAAAGTTCATCAAACGGTTTAGTGAAACGATTTGGTACGGCAAAGGACAAGGTTGAGTGAAACGATATTTTGGTACGGCAAAGAACGTGGGAACCTTTATCTGTGCGGTTTTGCATCACGTCGCTCGCGGAAAAGAGGATGTTGCCAGGTATAGGTGGGCAAGTAGCCATTTACCGGTAACAAGTGATTTCAATTCGTTTTGTCCTTCCAAAAAAAAAAAAAAAAAAAAATGTAAGAAGTGGGAGTTAAGTAAAGTAAATGACTTGTATATTACCGCGCACCAGACGCGTTTCGGCCCCCCGCCGGGGGCCTCATCAGTGGTTTGTCAATCTACAAGTGAGAACTATCCATACGTCTAGCTGCCGTACGACCTATAATAATGCATAGAACCCTAAAGAACATTCTAGACATACCCTATCATGGGTCGAATCTGTGGAGTCGAATCCAGTGCATCATGCACTTACAACACTCCCCCTCGACGACATGAGATGCAGACCACTTTGGTATCGACCCGCCTGTAATCCTCACTGCTGCATCCGTGCACCATGGGAATCTTGATTGAGTCTTGCCCCTGCGCTCCAGCCAACCTCGATGATACCGAGCGTTCCAGGTATTCCAGCCCCCTCATTGTCCAGCACCATGTCACATCTTGACATCTCGTAGTCGTCGTTCGCCTTGCATGTAGTTTCCACTTCTTCTTGACCACAAATACACTTGTCACCACTTGACTTGACTCTTCCTTCGATAGCACTCGCGCATTCAGACCATCTCGCGTCACCACCCTTGCACAAACCCTTTTCGACTGCACGCGCACCGTCAACGATCCCTGTCGATGAATTCTTCGGCGCCTTACTCGTGCATCGAGCGCCTTCTCTGACGGGGTGTCCCTCGCACAAGTTGGTCCTTGGTGAGATGTCTGCAGCGAGCACTTGGGCTCATAACCTGTAAGAAGTGGGAGTTAAGTAAAGTAAATGACTTGTATATTACCGCGCACCAGACGCGTTTCGGCCCCCCGCCGGGGGCCTCATCAGTGGTTTGTCAATCTACAAGTGAGAACTATCCATACGTCTAGCTGCCGTACGACCTATAATAATGCATAGAACCCTAAAGAACATTCTAGACATACCCTATCATGGGTCGAATCTCTGGAGTCGAATCCAGTGCATCATGCACTTACAACAACGCTTCACATGATTTATATGTACACCACATATAAATCATGTAGTAAGTAGTAAGCCCCGATAATCAATCACTTTCGAATCTTCCAACTATTGGGCAAGTGTTTTCTGCTCTACTCTCTTCGGTCTCTCCGCTCCGTTTGCTCCGCTTTCCTCGCTCCGATCTACAATGCAACATAAGCGGCCCTGACCAAGTGCACTGGAGAAAAGCAATTCATGCAGAGCTCGAGTCAATGCGACTTCGCGGTGTGTTTCGTGCAGCCAAGCTGCCCAACGGACAACGCGCCATTGGCACAAAATGGGTGTTCAAGATCAAGCGCAAGGCGGATGGGTCCATCGAGAAGTACAAGGCACGTCTCGCGGCAAAGGGCTTTCGCTCAAAGTATGGAATCGACTACACGGAGACGTTTTCGCCCGTGGTCAAGCATGTGACGCTGCGAATGGTGATCGCAATTTCCAAGCATTTTGGATGGCCCATCGACCAGCTTGATGTGGTGACAGCTTTCCTGTATGGCGTCATGAAGGATCAAGTGTTTTGCGTGATTCCTGAAGGCGTCGAACTTGACAGTACGTTCGACTGCCTGGAATTGGTGAAGGCAATTTACGGCCTGAAGCAAGCTTCGCGAGTATGGAACGAGACGTTTGACGAGTTTGTGTGTTCCATTGGATTTCAGGTGTCAGGCTTCGACCCATGTCTCTACATCAAGACTTCGGACGGCCATTGCGTGTTTATACTGGTCTACGTGGACGACGTCTTGGTGACTGGAAGCTCACTCGAGCTGATTGCACAAACCAAGAACGACCTGAAGGCGCGGTTCGAAATGACGGACAGCGGCAAGTGTGCGTTTGTTCTTGGGATCGAGCTTTTGGACGGTGAAAATGGCAGTGTGACACTATGTCAGCGTCGGTATGTCGATGATATCCTCAAGCGCTTTGGCATGGATGATTGCAAGGCAGTCGCAAGTCCAGTCGACATGAGCTCTCGACTTGTTTCAAGTGATGCAACTACCAAGGTCGATGCTCCTTTTCGCGAAGCTGTTGGTGCGTTGATGCACCTGACCACTGCAACGCGTCCGGACATTGCGTTTGCTGTGGGCTATGTGTCGCGGTTCATGGAAAATCCCCAAGAAGAACACTGGGTTGCAGTTAAGCGTATCTTTCGCTACCTACAAGGCACCAAGACGCATGGAATTTGCTACAAGCCAAGTGCAAGGATCGACTTCCGTGGATATTCGGATGCGGATTGGGCTGGTGATCTTACCGACCGCAAGTCAACATCGGGGTACACGTTCATGCTACTCGGTGCGCCAGTCAGTTGGGGCAGCAAGAAGCAGCCAAGTGTTTCGTTGTCCACGAGTGAAGTCGAATACATCGCACTCAGCTTGGCGATTCAAGAGGGCAAGTGGATTCATCGTCTGCTTTGTGAGATCGTGATGGCTGCCAATGAAGAAGGACCGGAACTCATGATCCATGAAGACAATCAGTCGTGTATCAAGATGACGAAGAACCCAGTCAACCACGGCCGTGCCAAGCACATTGATATCAAGTACCATCACATCCGTGATGAGGTCAAGCGCGGTGAAGTGAAGCTCAAGTACTGTGAAACTGCGGTGATGTTAGCGGACATCATGACGAAGGGACTTCACGGGCCACGCCACAAGGAGATGACGGCGACTCTCGGGATTCGTGAGCATTCGGATTGAGGGGCGTGTTGACGGTCATCGGTTTTCTACCAGTATTGGTAACCGTGACCGATCCAATCCGAACCGCCTGTTCAGCTTAGTATTTACGACGTAGTTCTTACGGTAATTACCATAGTTGATTAGACGCGTAGGATGATGAGACGCTTCACATGATTTATATGTACACCACATATAAATCATGTAGTAAGTAGTAAGCCCCGATAATCAATCACTTTCGAATCTTCCAACTATTGGGCAAGTGTTTTCTGCTCTACTCTCTTCGGTCTCTCCGCTCCGTTTGCTCCGCTTTCCTCGCTCCGATCTACAATGCAACAGGTTATGAGCCCAAGCGCCATGTCATCCACCAGCAACGCCTCCATTGACAAGTTCAACGGAGACAATTACGCAACGTGGAGCCGGTACATGCGCGGTGTGTTTTTGACGAAGTCCGTCTGGCACGTTGTCAACCGTGAAGTGACTCCGACTTTCACCGACCCGCGAGCGTCCGATGACTACGTCAAGGCAAGCAACGTCGCGTTTGGTATGATGCTGCTGCACATGAACGCGGACTACCATCATGTGCTGGACAACTGCGAGGAAGCCTGGGTTGCGTGGACAAGTCTGAAGACGCTGTACGGTGGGTCGCAGAAGGCAGGACGCATCTACCTCAAGCGACAACTTTTCAGTATCAAGATGGCTGAAGGCGCGAACGTCATGCATCACTGCAACGAGGTCCTCAACATCTCCGCCAAGCTTAGCGGCATCGGTGCGAAGATGGAAGACGAAGACGTTGCAATTTGTCTGCTACTCAGTCTTCCGAAGAGCTACGAAAATGTGGTGCTCAACATGGAAATGAGCAGCACCGAGCTTCGCACTCAAGATGTGGTGAGAGTCCTGACGAATGAGCATGCCAAGCGTCAAGGAGAAAAAGGGACAACGACAGCGACTACGGTGAAGGCTGAAGATGCAAGCAAGGCATTCAGCGCCGAGCGTGAGCCCTACCAATGCACGTATTGTGGCAAGGTGGGACACACGGTGGATCGTTGCTGGACAAAGCAGAAGAACGAAGGTCAGGGGAGCCCGACGCGGCGGCAATGGTCGTGGACGCGGGGCTAACAATGTCCAGTGGGGACATCATGATGAAGGCAATGGCTACGATCGAGTGGCGTTTGCAGTCTCGTTCGAATGTGGAGTTTCGACGAGCAAGGACGTGTCTGGAATGTGGGCCGTCGACAGTGGTGCAACGCACCACATTTGCCACGACAAGACCAAGTTCGCAAGTTTGGCAGAGCGCAATGAGGGCGAACTCTTGGTGGCTGATGGCAACAAGGTGGCCATCAAGGGTGTGGGAACCATCATGGAAAAGGTGGTTCTGCCCAACGGTGAAGAGCGTGAGATCGAAATCAAGAACGCGCTATATGTTCCAAGTATGAGCAAGAACCTGCTCTCGGTGCCACAGATTAACAGCCATGGCAAGTTTCAAGTCGTGTTTGACGGGTCCAAGATGTATGTGACTCTCAAGAACTCACAGCAAGTGGTGGCGACAGCGGATCTCGTGGATGGACTCTACTGGCTTCGGACGACTCAACGATCAGCGAATGTGACAACAAGTGGAACCAGTTGTGCCGATCTACATGCGAGAATGGGTCATGCTCCAGTCGATGTACTTCGCAAGATGATCGCGACCAACATGATCAAGGATGTGCGAGTCCCTCTCAAGTCGGGTGGAGCAACTACATGTCGAGGATGTCAACAAGGGAAAATGGTCCAAAAACCATTTCCAAGCAACCGAGACAAGCGCAGCTACGATACGTTTGAGCTACTTCATCTGGACATCTGCGGGCCCATGGAAAGGATTCGCTCGGTGGCAGCAAATATTTGCTGCTGATCATCGACGAAGCCAGTGGATGCATGAAGGGCTTTTGTCTACGAGTGAAGTCCGAGAGTGAAGACTACATCCGGAAATATATCACCATGGTACAGACGCAATTCTGTAAGAAGGTCAAGTTCGTGCGACACGACGGAGCTCGCGAGTTTGCAACCAACTCGCTTCAACTGTTCTCTACGAAGACGAAGGCATTGAACAGCAGACAACGG